CGTGGGGTCCGGCGTGCCCTCCCCCTCCGGCCGCCTGCCGCTGCAGGTCCAGCACCGGGCTGCAGCCCTGGCCATGCAGCGTGGCTTGTCCAGCCTCCTCTTCCCCTCCGCCTCCTGCCACAAGTCCCTCTTCACAGGGACCTTCCAGCCCCGGTGCGTCCCTGTGCCTGCAAGGCGGGAGGGGACGGGCGAGGACGGGGACCCGGCGTGCTCAGCCTCCGCTCCTGCAGGTGGTTCGACCGCAAGCTGCAGGCGAACGAGGAGCAGTGCAGAGCCGTGACGCACATCGTGACGGGGATGTCCAGGCCAGCCCCATACCTCATCTTCGGCCCCCCCGGGACTGGCAAGACCGTCACCCTGGTGGAGGCCATCAAGCAGGTGAGGGGCTGGTGCCCAGGTCCAGCCCCAGGCATCACTGCCCACCCTGGCCCGTGGGGCTCAGCGCCACTGCCCCCTCCTCCCACCTAGGTATGGACGTGCTTCAAGGATGCCCGGATCTTGGCCTGTGCCCCTTCCAACAGTGCCGCAGACCTGCTGTGCCAGCGCCTCATCCAGGACATCGCCCCCCGGTACATCTACAGGCTCATCGCCAGCTCCAGGAGCTACCAGGAGGTGCCTGCCGATATCAGGGTAGGTCTCTGCCCCTCCATCCTGGCACCCCATGGCACATCTGGGCTGACAGCCCCCGGGGAGAACAGGATCCCACCGAACGCCTGTGTTTCAGCCCTGCTGCAACTGGGACGATGAGCAGAGCTGCTACGTGTACCTGAGCAAGGAGCACCTGGGGCGCTACCGGATCCTCATCACCACGCTGGTGACAGCGGGAAGGTCGGAGGACCTGGGATTGTCCCCACCACCCACGGCGGGTGGACCAAGGGGCTGCCTTGCACCCTGGCTGTGAGGGCAGCCCTGCTGGGGTGCAGTGGGGAGGGGGCATGGAGGGGGGCAGGCAGCAGGGGAGACCCATCCTCTGCAGGAGGGCGAGGGCGAGGGGAGGCAGGATGGCCAGCCAGGGCAGCGACGATGAGGCAGCCTCACTCCCCCTCTCCCCCAGGCTGGCATCGGCCAACTTCCCCCCAGGGTTTTTCACCCACGTCTTCATCGATGAGGCTGGCCAGGCGGTAGAGCCGGAGAGCGTGGTCGCCATCGCAGGTGAGTGGTGGCCAGCTGCTGTCTCGGGGACCAGCATCCCTGCATGGCCCGGGGACCCTCCTGTCCCCTGCTGAGCTCTCCTCTGCCCAGGACTCCTGACTGCCATGGACCAGAAGACCAACCCCAACGGGGGGCAGCTGGTGCTGGCAGGAGACCCCCAGCAGCTGGGCCCTGTCCTGAGGTCGCCACTGGCCATTGAACACGGCTTGGGTGAGCAGGGAGAGGGGTGGGAGCACTGCTGGCGCCCGGGGCCGAGGGGCCTTGCGGGGACCACAGGGTCTCGCTGGGTGCAGGCACCTCGCTGCTGGAGAGGCTGATGCTGCACAACCCCCTGTACAAGAAGTCGAGCGGAGGATACAACCCACAGTTCGTCACCAAGCTGCTCTGGAACTACAGGTGGGGATGGGGCCAGCATGGGGACGGGCGCAGGCAGGGGTGGGGGTGCAGGATCCGTGTGTGCACCCAGGGCTCCGGCTCCCCCGAGCCTCGTAGTGCCCTGCTGGGGCAGGAGATGGGAGCCCACCCGCTGTCCGGGATGCACGGTGCCCGGGAGGGTGCTGGGGCCGTGTGGCATCCGCGCTGGGCACTGTCTTGCCTCTGCCAGGTCCCACGAGGCCATCCTCCGGATCCCCAACGAGCTCTTCTACGACAGCGAGCTGAAGGCCTGCGAGAGCAACGAGCTCGACGTCCGGAGTCTGTATTGTGCCTGGGAGGAGCTTCCCAAAAAAGTGAGGGGGGCAGCAGGGAGGGGACCCAGGTGGGAGCCCTGAGCCACAGGCGGAGCAGAGCCCCACACTCCCCCCATCCCCAGGGCTTCCCCATCATCTTCCATGGGGTTTGTGGGGAAGACCGGAGAGAGGCCAAGAGCCCCTCATTCTTCAACACGGCTGAGATCGAGGTGCTGGTCCACTACCTCAAGAAGCTGCTGCAGAGCCGGGGCAAGGGGGGCTGCCCCAGCGTCTCGCCCAAGGAGGTCGGCATCATCTCTCCCTACAGGAAGCAGGTGAGGGGCACGGCTCTGCAGGCAGGGGATGAGTGGAGACCCCCCCAGGGCACAGGGGGCACTGGGATGGATGGGCAGCCCCAGGGCTGGCACACAAGGGCAGCTCCATGGTGGCTGGACCGTGCTGTGTGCCTCCCTCCAGGTAGAGAAGATCCGGAAAGCCATCACCTCCCTGGACCCTGTTCTGCGGAAGCTGCCAGACATCAGCCTGCTGAAGGTACAGTCCTGGGCACGGGGAGGGGGAGAAGAGCCCACCCCACCACAGGCAGAGGGAACCCCCCAGCCCCTCACCTGCTGTCCCCACCCCAGGTGGGCTCCGTGGAGGAGTTCCAGGGCCAGGAGCGGCGCATCATCCTCATCTCCACCGTGCGCAGCTGCAGCGAGTACTTCCAGCTTGCACCCCGGTGGGGCTGGGGAGGGGGCTGAGAGGTGCTGCTGCAGGGTGAAGCCCTCGCTCCTCTTCTCTTTTCAGAGGCTCAACGTGGCCATCACCAGGGCCAAGGCTCTGCTGATTGTGGTGGGCAACCCGGCCGTGCTCAGCAAGGACCCTCACTGGCAGAGGTGAGCCCTTCCCTGCCGCTGCGGACCGTGC